CTTGCGAACCAGTAGCCGTTCGTCCCGGCTTTCCAGATCATCCGCAAGCTCCCTCAGTCGCCAGTAGTAGGCTAGCAGGGACTCGTCTTTTCCTCGGCGAAACTCGCGGAATTCCTCGACTCTCGCTTTAGTTTGCCCCAAAAATTCCTCCTTCAACAGCTCGACAAACCGCGCGGTCGGGTTTCCGATCTCTCCGCACGCCAGCTCCTCGAGCACTTCGTCCCGCGTCATGCGATAAAAGGTCTCGGCCTCGCCCGCTAGCGTTACCACCATCCGCCGGAAGAATTCTGCTGGGTCCAGCCCGTCCCGTTCCCAACAGTACTCCACCGTCTCCAACTGCATCAGATAGTTCTTCAGGGTGGGACCCACGCCGAGAATTCCGGTGAACCGCTCGGCTACCTCCAGCTTCGGAAGGGATCCTGTCGGCCTTCTCTTGTCTGTAGGCCGGTCTAGTGGGGCGGCGGTTGAGGGTAGCTCCGCAGCTTGACTCGCTATAAGCTCTTGATGCATCGGCGACCGGAACTCTCCCTCCGGCTGGCGCCGCAGCCAAGTCGTTTGTGCCTGCACTCGGTCAGATTCCATCCCCGGCATCAACCCAGGGGAGTTACTAGCTGGGCGGCTCGCCCACCGTGCTCTCGCTTCCCGAGCCCAACGCAGATCGTGAGGGGTCTCTCCTGGATCCGACGCGACGGTCCGCGAAGGCTCCATGTCCTTGCGCCGCCCTCGTTCCCGTTGGTGCGGGGTCCGGTACGCTCCCGTACGCGAAGCTGGCGAGCGCCTTGTCTCCACCTCTGACACTCGGTCCAACGAGGTCGTCGCGGCGGCGCGCCATCTTGGTTCAGCCGAAATATCTTCCTTTCGGTAGCTCTGCCCGGATCGTAGTCTAAACCTATCATTCATCCTAGCTTGAGAACAGCGATCGGTCGCAGTTCTTGCTTGTATGTTGTATGCTCCTGACACATAAGACTCTCTCTGGGTCTTCCTAACTCGGCTGACTGTCGGAAGGCACTGAGTGGAAACCCTCAAAAGGCTTGCTGGGACTAGCTCCTCCACTTGGCGCAAATACGAGTATGGTTGAAGGTAGCTCTTAGCCGATAGAGGAAACATACAAGCAAGCAAATGCTATTTCTCGTATTGCTTGCCTAAGTAGGTGCACTTGGTTACCGTTGCACGGCAACGGTTGGTTTTGTTTCGTCAGTTCCTGCTCTGGCGCTATTCGCCTCTGCCTCACCCCGCTTGAATCCTACTCACTACAGTACCCTGTCATGCATTTATATTGTTATGCCCTACTCACTATTCTTCAATTAAATGTATGACAAGGCGCTGCGCGGCCGCGGCCGTACTTCGTTCCGCTCATGGAGCAGGTTCTTGGTCTCCCGCCCTCTACTGGTCCTGCTCCTCCCTTAGCGTGTCCACAGCCTGTCCAGTCACAGTCACAGTTACCGCCCGCCTCCCCCCTGCCTGCTCCTTCTCCCTACACTGGTCCTAGTCGAGGTCTTGCTGAGCGTCGTGAGCCTGCGTCTCGTCCTGCGTTGCCTGTTCGTGCTGCTCGCACAAGTGGTCATGCTCCGCGCCCGCGTCCTTCTGCGGTCCCCGGCACACACCAGATGGCGCTGCTCCTTCCAGTGCTCCTCTGCGTGTCCCGTTGCCGTCTCCTCCAGAGTCCTCTCTTCCTACTCTTGCTGACCCGGAGTCTGACTCTCTTCGTGCTGCCAGTCCTACTGTCACGCGTCTCCTGGCTACTGTTGTCACCGACCCTTGTTTTGAGTCCACTGTTGCGTCTGCTTTGGTTGCTGAGCTTGTTGACTTCGCTGCTCGCTGTCGTCTAGATTACGCTGCTAGTCTTGTCGCTGAGTCTGAGTCTGCCCGTCCTCCGTCCGTCGGGGGTGAGTGTGCTCTTAGCACGGACGTCCTTAAGGACAGGCAGGAGGAGTTCCACTGTTTTGCTGCTGCTTTGCCTCATCTCGTGTCCACGCTGATTGCCCCTGAGGGAGACCCGGATGCACCAGACATCCCGACTCCTCGATCGTACGCTAAGGCAATCGAGGGTCCCTACTCCTCACAGTGGCAGTCAGCCATGGACGCAGAGATGGCTTCCTGGAAGTCCACAGGCACCTACGTCGACGAGGTTCCCCCACCTGGGGCGAACATCGTCAGTGGCATGTGGATTTTCAGGGTGAAGCGGCCGCCGGGTTCTCCGCCTGTCTTCAAGGCGCATTACGTGGCTCGAGGCTTCAGTCAGCGGCAGGGAGTTGACTACTTTCAGACCTTCTCCCCTACCCCGAAGATGACCACTCTTTGGGTGCTACTGCACATAGCCGCTCAGCGCGACTACGAGCTTCACTCTCTTGACTTCAGCACAGCTTTCCTGCAGGGCAGCCTGCACGAGGAGATCTGACTGCGCCACCCATCAGGCTTCACTGGGCCGTTTCCTCCTGGTACCTAGTGGAGCCTCCGACGGCCAGTCTACGGTCTCCGCCAGGCGCCCCGTGAGTGGCACGACACACTGAGGACTACACTTGCGGCTCTTGGGTTTGCTCCTTCTACTGCCGACCCGTCGCTGTTTCTACGCACCGACACCTCTTTGCCGCCGTTCTACATCCTCGTGTACGTCGACGACTTGGTCTTTGCCACTACTGACACTGCTGGACTCGCCCACGTGAAGTCCGAGCTGCAGAAAAGACACACGTGCACAGACCTGGGTGAACTGCGCAGATACCTTGGCTTGCAGATCACCCGGGACAGAGCACAGCGCACCATTACCCTGACTCAGTCACACATGGTGCAGCAGGTCCTTCAGCGCTTCGACTTCACGTACTCCTCGCCTCAGGCCACTCCTCTGTCTACTCGCCACTCGCTCTCAGCTCTGCCTTCGGATGAGTCCGTAGAGCCGAGTGGCCCGTACCCAGAGCTTGTTGGCTGTCTCATGTACTTGATGACCTGCACACGACCTGACCTAGCATACCCTCTTAGCATCTTGGCACGCAATGTGGCTCCTGGGAGACACCGACCAGAGAACATGGCTGCAGCGAAGTGGGTGTTGCGCTACTTGTGCAGTACGTCGGGCATGGGGCTAGTGCTTGGAGGGCGACGTCCAGTGGTCCTCACAGGTCACGCAGACGCTTCTTGGGCTGACGACCAGGCTACGCAGCGGTCGTCACAGGGTTACACCTTCAGCCTTGGTTCCGGCTCTGTCTCGTGGTGGTCTACCTGCTCATCTTCTGTTCTCAGCTCCAGCTGTGAGGCCGAGATCTACGAAGGGGACATGGCTGCACAGGAGCTACGCTGGCTCACCTACCTGCTGACTGACCTAGGAGAGCCGCCTCGTTCTCCTCCAGTTCTGTACGTAGACAACAAGGCCATGATGGCCTTGTGTCGGGAGCACAGACTGGAGCACAGAACGAAGCACATTGCTCTTTGCTACTTCCTTGCTCGTGAGCTGCAGCAGCGCGGTCAGCTGCGCCTTGCTTACGTGGCCTCTGAGGCCAACACTGCTGATATCTTTACCAAGGCACTTCCGCCTTGTGATCATCAGCGCTTTTGTACTTTGCTAGGTCTTGTGCCTACTTGGCCTCACTTGCTCACCTCTTGACTTAGTTTGTACTGTGATCTATATATACCTGCACTTGCATGCTTACCTTTGCTAGGTTGAGATCACTGCCTTGCTTGTTCTTCTTGATATATAACTCTGCATGTGAACTGGCCTTGTGGCCATGTGCTTGTGCTCAGATTGTGTGGTGACGTTGTGATCCACCCTGGACTTGCCTTGCTTCTCTTGACTGGTCTTGTGACCCCTTGTTCTCCCCCACTTTGCCTATGGGGGTGTGTCGAACTTATATGCTATAGTTTGTTTAGGCTGTAGTGGGGTAGTCAATATGGGGTGCAACACTTGTACTCCTCATGCTGCTCAATGAAATCATTCCTTCCTCAGATTCTCACATAAACACCTGGCGAGTTACATGTTTAGGGTTGTACATTCGAAAATGCATCCAGGTTTTTTTGGGTTTTATTTTGTTCTGGCGGGAGTTTCATCTATGACCATTCGCGGTTTTTTTTTTTTTTTTTTTTTTTTTTTTTTTTACTATTTGATGTGAGAATAGTATGAAGCAATGAAATGGACTAGGAAACAGGTGGGTACAAGTAGTGAACCTAAAAGTGTTGTACCCCATACTATCTACCCCACTATCACCTACACAGACAATAGCATATAAGTTTGACACACCCCCATAGGCAAAGTGGGGAAGAACAAGAGGTCACAAGTTACAAAAAGTAGGTGTGGGGCCTAGGCTTAATAGCCTAGGCCCACACTAGGAGGTAGGTGAGTTCGAGTGGGTTAGGTGAGTATCGAGAAATTTGGAAGGGAAGTGAAGTGACTAGCAAGAGTTGGGATACAAGTACATTGCCCTAAATTGGGTTGTACTCATTACAGAGTACCCCACTGCAGGCTAGACAGCAAATATATTCTGACACACCCCCATAGCCAAAGTGGGGTGAAATCAGCAGAGCAGGCAAAGCAGTACAAGCTCAGGGTGGATCACAATGTCACCACACATTCTGAGCACAAGTTCAAGAAGCAATAGTTAAAGTGCACAATTATCAGCAAAGCTAGTGGTGGTCACAACGGGCAAGTGAGGAGGAGGAGGGAGAGTGAGAGGAGAGGAGATGGGAGGCGACTGCTGAAGCTGCAGACACACGGGCAACAGGAGCGGCTGGCACAGTGGCTACCGGGACAGCGCCCCGGACTACTGGAGTAACTGGCTCGGCGGCTACGAAGAGCGGCAGGAGCAACGGACCCACGGGCGACAGGCGCAGCAGGCTCACTGGGCTACCAGGACAGCGCCCCGGACTACAGGTGCTGCGGACTACAAGACGGCAGCCTCCGCTCAACCTCCCACAAACAGTCCCACCCCCCTGACACACACCCGCTGCTACACCCCTAGCTCCACTCCCACGCAACCCCCTTAAACCCTAAACCCCAGTCTCCCACACAACCACCCCCCTCAGCGACAGCTGCAGCAGTGGTAGACGACGGAGGAGGAGAAGGAAGGGGCGACACAAACGGAGCACCCCCACACCCGCAAACGGGGGGGGGAGGGGGGGGGGGGGGGGGGGGGGGGGACAGTGCGCACGAGGGCGCAGACAGTAGCAGAGCGCACGGGGGCGCGAGCACGAGGCACGGGCAGCAACAGGCACGGGCAGCACAGGCACGGGCAGCACAGGCACGGGCAGCACAGGCACGGGCAGCAACAGGCACAGGCAGCACAGGCACGGGCAGCACAGGCACGGGCAGCACAGGCACGGGCAGCACAGGCACGGGCAGCAACAGGCACGGGCAGCACAGGCACGGGCAGCACAGGCACGGGCAGCACAGGCACGGGCAGCACAGGCACGGGCAGCAACAGGCACGGGCGGCACATGCACGGGCAGCAACAGGCACGGGCAGCACAGGCACGGGCAGCACAGGCACGGGCAGCAACAGGCACGGGCAGCAACAGGCACAGGCAGCACAGGCACGGGCAGCACAGGCACGGGCAGCACAGGCACGGGCAGCACAGGCACGGGCAGCAACAGGCACGGGCAGCACAGGCACGGGCAGCAACAGGCACGGGCAGCACAGGCACGGGCAGCACAGGCACGGGCAGCACAGGCACGGGCAGCAACAGGCACGGGCAGCACAGGCACGGGCAGCACAGGCACGGGCAGCACAGGCACGGGCAGCACAGGCACGGGCAGCACAGGCACGGGCAGCAACAGGCACGGGCAGCACAGGCACGGGCAGCAACAGGCACGGGCAGCACACGCACGGGCAGCACAGGCACGGGCAGCACAGGCACGGGCAGCAACAGGCACGGGCAGCACAGGCACGGGCAGCACAGGCACGGGCAGCAACAGGCACGGGCAGCACAGGCACGGGCAGCACAGGCACGGGCAGCAACAGGCACAGGCAGCACAGGCACGGGCAGCACAGGCACGGGCAGCACAGGCACGGGCAGCACAGGCACGGGCAGCAACAGGCACGGGCAGCACAGGCACGGGCAGCAACAGGCACGGGCAGCACTGGCACGGGCAGCACAGGCACGGGCAGCACAGGCACGGGCAGCAACAGGCACGGGCAGCACAGGGCGTACCGGGTCCAGGGGCGGCTTCTGGGGTCCAGGGGCGGCACCTGCAGCTGGGCGGCGGTAGCTGCTGCGGCAGAGCGGCGGCGGCTGCTGCTGCTGATAGAGCGGCGGCTGCTGCTGCTGGGTCGGTGGCGGCAGCTGCTGCAGGTCTGGCGGCTGCTGCTGCTGCAGACTCTGGCGGCGGCTGCTGCTGTAGACTCTGGCGGCGGCTGCTGCTGCAGGCTCTGGCGGCGGCTGCTGCTGCAGGCTCTGGCGGCGGCTGCTGCTGCAGACCCTGGCGGCGGCTGCTGCTGAAGACCCTGGCGGCGGCTGCTGCTGCAGGCTCTGGCGGCGGCTGCTGCTGCAGACCCTGGCGGCGGCTGCTGCTGCAGGCCTGGCGGCGGCTGCTGCTGCAGGGCGGCGGCGTCTGTTGCTGCAGGCCTGGCGGCGGCTGCTGCTGCAGGGCGGCGGCGTCTGCTGCTGCAGGCCGGCGGCGGCTGCTGCTGCAGGAACTGACGGCGCCCCGCGGGTCCCGCATGGGGCGTCGCGACGAGCAGGGGCGACGCCCCGCGGGTCCCACAGGGGGCGTCGCGACGAGCAGGGGCGACGCCCCGCGGGTCCCGCACGGACGTCGCGACGAGCAGGGGCGACACCCCGCGGGTCCCGTAGGGTCGTCGCGACGACTAGGGGCGACGCCCCGCGGGTCCCGCGCGGGCGTCGTGACGAGCAGCGGGGAGGGCAGCGCGCAAGCCCCCCCGAGGGCGCTTCGATGGACGGGAAAACCGCCGCGCGCCACGAGCGCGCGGCGGGCAGAAAAAAGCCGCCACGCGCTAGGAGCGCGTGGCGGGAAGAAAATGCAGCGCCGCGCGCCACGGGGCGCGCGGCGGACAGTAGGGCAGCGGAAGACGTTGGTGGGCCCGTTAAGCTAGGCGGCAGGAACTTGCCTGCTCTGATACCATAACAAAAAGTAGGTGTGGGGCCTAGGCTTAATAGCCTAGGCCCACACTAGGAGGTAGGTGAGTTCGAGTGGGTTAGGTGAGTATCGAGAAATTTGGAAGGGAAGTGAAGTGACTAGCAAGAGTTGGGATACAAGTACATTGCCCTAAATTGGGTTGTACTCATTACAGAGTACCCCACTGCAGGCTAGACAGCAAATATATTCTGACAACAAGACCAGTCAAGAAGAGCAAAGCAAGCTCAGGGTGGATCACGACGTCACCACACATTCCGAGCACAAGAAAGCGGCCACAAGGCCAGTTCACACGCAAAGTTATACAAAGCAGAACAAGCAAGACAGTGATCACAACCTAGCAAGTGTGAACATGCAGGTATATATATAGAGATCACAATACAGGCAAATTCAAGAAGTGAGCAAGTGAGGCCAACTTGAGACAAGGCCTAGAACAGTACTGAACCGCTGATGATCACAAGGCTAAAGTGCCTTGGTGAAGAGATCAGCCGTGTTGGCCTGAGAGGCCACGTAAACAAGACAAAGCTGACCCCCGTACCCACACCGCAAGAGGTGGTTTGCCAGGCTCGTGTCCGTGATTGCAGTGTTGGCGCGCTTGCACGGGCAGGTGACTGTGACTGGAAGAGCCATGCCGAGGCGAAAGCCAAGTGCCAACGAGAACTGACCAGGGGCAAAAGTAAGGTCAGATCTCGTTGGGACGGCATGGAGCCAGTCCCCCGCGCCCACCCCTTGCAAACTGATGAGCTGTACTGCGTGCCCACGGTCCTTCCCTGGGCGGTCTTCTATTGTGTCAGCCAGCAGCTCCGCCACCCTCGTCTCATTGATGTGGCGAGACAGGGTCAGTTGAAGGTTCCCCTGTCCCGCCGGCTGCTCCCTGTAAGTGTGTAGTGCCGCCCGTGCAGCTATGGGTAGCCCAGCTTCCAGAGTTGTCAGGGGGTTGATGCCGGGTGGGGCAGGGGTCCAATCGTGGCACAGCAGCTCGACTGCCCTGCTCAGGAGATAGGCCTCAGGCAGGTTCATCTGGCACAGCAAGTGCTGCGCCGCCGTGACCGAGGCGATGTAGGCCGCAGGTGCCTCGGAGACTGGGTCAATAATCCCCAAGCCTCCCAACCTGACCGGCAGACTCCCCTGGCGCCACAACAGACTCTCCAGCTCGTCTGAAGGTACTCGAAGCTTCGTTGCTGCTAGTGCCGTTGCCATCAGGGTCTCACTCCAGCCCCTCCACCCCTCTCTCCCCAGGACTTCCGCCGGTGTCGTCCGCAGAAAGTAGGAGATTTGGCGGGATATGCTCCTCGTGAGGATGAGCATTGCGCTCTGCGAGTGGAGCTCCGCCACCAGAGGTAACGGGGCCGACGCCTCATCAAGCCGTGTTTGTTCTTGATTGGTGCAGAAGGCAGGCAAGCCGACTGGGCTGCCTAGAACCCGGATCCCATCTGTGATCTGCTGCAGGCCGATGGGAGGTGGCGTGCCGCCGTCATCCGCGAGCGATTGTCCCCATGCCGACGATTTTGCGATGTTGCAACGGAGGCCGAGCGTTGCCAGCTCCCTGGTAATGGCCCCAAAGGCCTCATAGCAGGCCTCCTTCGGCCCCACTATCGTTATGTCGTCGGCGTAGGCCACTATCGCGACTCCCGGTAAGAAGGTCGCCGTGCTTAGCAGGCATGGTTGAATTGCTGCCGCGAAGAGTAGTGGACCGAGCGGGTCCCCTTGACGCACCCCGCGTGACGAGAGGATATGGTTCACTCCTAAACGTTCGTCGACCAAGAGTGACGACGGTGCCCCGTAGAGTGTTCGGGCCAGGGGCATGAGCTGCAGCAAACTGGACTGGGAGAGAGCGTTGAAGAAAGCCGCCCGTTCGACACTGTTGAAGGCGTTTTCTATGTCCAGCTGTAGCGCTACTCGTGTGTCGTCGTCCCTTAGTAGCGATCTGACGGAGTGGATGATACACTCTGCGCCTCCCGGTATCGCTACCCCAAACTGGACTGGTAGGAAAAACTCCTTAATGTTCTCGGTTAAGCCACGCAATGCTGCCTTAGCTACGACTCGAAGAATAGCCTCCCCTATCGCAATAGGCCGGACTCCTCCTCCTGGCTTTTCTAGGGCGATCAACCGTGAAGGCAGCAGCAAATCGCGGGTCGCTGGTGTTTGGAACGTGCTCAGCAGGTACGTCACTACCTTAGCGAGTAGAATAAGCACCTCCCCGTTTGCCAGTGCCGGATCCTTGAGGTGTTCGAAGCAGGTGCCAGATGGGCCTGCTCCAACCCCGTTCGGGCATTTCTTCAGGATTTCGCGAAGTTCGTCCGCTGACACGCTGAGGGTCGAGCGGTTGAGCCCTGTAACCAGACCCGGTAGCGAAGTTTCGGCTGCGGGGTGTTTCGCTTGGAGGGCAGTCAAAGTTGCTGCCGTTGCTTCTGCGAGCGGTGTAGTTCGTAACGCTGCTACCGCCTTGGAAATGTTTCCTTTCCGTATCAACCCTTCCGCCCTTGCGCATAAACCCGCGTCATCCGGTTGGTGTCGTATCGGGCTCTCATTGTCGGGGATAACACATGCGTCGGTGTATAGGGCCTGCCAGCTGCCGAGTTGGAATTGGTGCAGGCGCAGCTCTATTGCTGTCCACCGACTGCCTTCAACAGGTTCAGGGGCTGGGCGTAGTGTCAGCCTCGGCAGATACTGCAGGATCGCCCATGCACCTGGGTAGTCAGGATTCTTCGAGAGTCAAATGAGTGGCGCCAAGAGACAGAGCGTGTAGCTTTCCAGGATCTTGGGCGGCATTCTGCGGACCACGAAGGGTTGATCCCCTTTTTGGAGTGGGTATTTGTCCCACGTGGCTGCCAGCTCCCAGATGGCAGAATCATCCGCCAGGTCAGACGGTGATCTGACCCCAGAGTCACTCTGTCCCTCGTTGGGTGCGTCCCCATTTTCTCCCACCACCTGAGGGTTTCCCCTTACTCCTGGCGCTTCCTCGTTCCCAATTCTCGCACCCTGAGGGTTATTGCCCTAGGGTTTTACCCCATTATTCTGGGTTCTCCTTCGCTCCCCAGCTCTTTTCGTCATGTGTACTCCCTCCTCGTCCTCCAACGAGATTTCCTCTGATGGCTCCGCTGATTCAGCTACATAATCGCCCCCCTCGTCGGTGTTTGCATCATCTTCTTCGTCGTGATTCGTTGCAGGCTCCGCTTGCTCCGGTCGCTCGTGGCGTTCCCGCCACGTTCCCATTCTCACGAGCGCGACCCTTCCGCCGAAAATCGGGCCTCTTCCGCCCCGTCCCCCTCTGGCCCCTCGCACTCCTCCCCTTGCTCCGCGAGCCGTTTCTCCCCCCCTAGGGCCGGCGTTCTGCTCGCCTCGGCCTGCATGTTGCGGTCTTCCCGCCGGGATCCACGGCGCCAGCATCGGCGTTGCCTGGCCAACCCTTGGCTGGCCCCAGGTAATGCCTTGCGCCCTCGTAACACTGCGGGTTTCACGCCGTGGGGTCTGTTGAGCCGTGGCGGCAGCCGTGGTTGTTCTCTCCTCTCCCCCCGTTGAGTTCCGTGAATCCCGACGCGGTGGTTGTTGCATTGATGGTCCCGCCACTGCGTTCCCTGTCGTGATGATCGGTGTGGGTGCTAGCCTGATCCTGTCTCCTGCTTCCCTTCTCCCGTCGCTTGTCCCCACAGATGGCAAGTGACGCTCTTGCCCTTGTGGCAACTGCCCTTGCAGAAGCCAGCCCAGGAGGGGTCCCGGGGGACCAAGTCCCAGCCCTGCTCCGGGCCGCCTCGGTGCTGGCTGGGCTCGAAGCTTCGTCTTCCCGCGGGCGGCGCAGGCAGTCCCGCCGGCTCCACGACCCTGTCTACCACTCCCCCCAGGTCGTGTCCCTGCGTGCTTGCGCCCTCGGCAGCAGCAGAAGTTTCGGCGTTCGCAGCGGCGACCGGCGCACCCTCCTCGGTCCGGGCTCCGTCCTGTTCCCCTGTCGCCGCTGTCACCGCCGCCGCCAGCACAGACGCCGTTACAGGCTCCGGTGACGCCGCCAGCACCACCGCCTCGGTCCGTTCCTGAGCCACTGGTGGTCCCGGCTCCTCTGGTTGCCACGCCTGGGGGATGGCAGAGGGTGAGGCTGAGCCGCCGCCAGAGGCAGCGTCAGGCCCGCCAAGCTCAGCAGCAGCCACCATCTCAGTCGCCTCAGCAGCAACCCCCTCCAGCCCTGGAGCAGCCGCAGCCTCAACCGCCACAGCCGCCTCTGACTCAGTCCCCATTGCGCCACTTCCCCCTGCCGCCGCGGCCGCAGCCGCCTCGCCCTCCACCGACTCCTGTTCCCCCGCCGCCTCCCCAGGTGCTGTTATTCCCACCCGTCCCACCAGGTCCTCACGTTGCTGCTCGTGTGGATGCGACTCCTTTCCACGTCGAGCAGTGCGTAATGCACGTGGGGACGTGTTTGACGCTGCTGTCCTACGTGCTGGACCAACTCCACGTGTGTCTGGCGCGGCAGGGTGTGGAGGTTGGGGGGATGATGCCATCGGAGCAGTCAGCGGCGGTGTCCGCAGCAAGGGAGATGCTACATTATCTCCCCCTGATCGGGCTTGTCAAGGGTGCCCCTGGTGCTGCGCTCGGGCCCGGCCCTGGGGCAATGTTGCGGCTTGCTGAGTCTGCTCAGGGGGCCCCTCTTGGTCTTGTATCAGCAGCCGCATCCGTCCTACGCTGGATGGACGGGAGGCTGTGCTGGATACTCTCCGAGTAGCCGGTTTGTCCCCTTTGCCATCCCCCTTGGTAGCTGGCTTAGCCTTGGGCTTCCCCATGGCGGTGTAGGCACGCCCGGGGATGTTGCTTTTGCTGCAGGGCTCTACCACTGCATGTATCAAATGTTCTTATGAAACTTGTCGCTGGAGACCCTTGCCACACCTTCGGCGGCCGCCGCCGGTTTTGGAGAGTGAACTAGACTCACCAGTGAAGAATGAGCCTCATGGGCCAAAGACTAGAGACTTTATACTAAGGAAACAGTGCTGGAAGCGGCTAAGGACTATGCACTATGCTAGGGAGGCGAAAAACGGCTAAGGACTAGCACATAGCCATCTCTCTCTCTCTCTCTCTCTCTCTCTCTCTCTCTCTCTCTCTCTCTCTCTCTCTCTCTCTCTCTCTCTCTCTCTCTCTCTCTCTCTCTCTCTCTCTCTCTCTATCTCTCTCTCTCTCCCTCTCTCTCCCTCTCTCTCTCTCTCTCCCTCTCTCTCTCTCTCTCTCTCTCTCTCTCTCTCTCTCTCTCTCTCTCTCTCTCTCTCTCTCTCCCTCTCTCTCTCTCTCTCTCCATCTCTCTCTCTCTCTCTCTCTCTCCCTCTCTCTCTCTCTCCCTCCCTCTCTCTCTCTCTCTCCCTCTCTCTCTCTCTCCCTCCCTCTCTCTCTCTCTCTCCCTCCCTCTCTCTCTCTCTCTCTCTCTCTCTCTCTCTCTCCCTCTCTCTCTCTCTCTCTCTCTCTCTCTCTCTCTCTCTCTCTCTCTCCCTCTCTCTCTCCCTCTCTCTCTCTCTCTCTCTCTCTCTCTCTCTCTCTCTCTCTCTCTCTCTCTCTCTCTCTCTCTCTCTCTCTCTCTCTCTCTCTCTCTCTCTCTCTCTCTCTCTCTCATGCTGCTCGGTTTGGAGAATAAAAAATCGAACAATGAGGAACTAGCTGGCTGCTAGAGCCTTTATACTAAGGATGAGAGGCTGTGGGAAGAGGCCTAGATACCTCTCTCTCTCCATCTCTGGCTCTCTCAAGCCGCTCGGTTAGGAGAATAAAAAATCGAACAATGAGGAACTAGCTGGCTGCTAGAGCCTTTATACTAAGGAACTAAGGCTGAGGGAAGAGGCCTAGATGCCTCTCTCCCTCCCTCCCTCCCTCCCTCCCTCCCTCCCTCCCTCCCTCCCTCCCTCCCTCCCTCCCTCCCTCCCTCCCTCCCTCCCTCCCTCCCTCCCTTCCTCCCTCCCTCCCTCCCTCCCTCCCTTCCTCCCTCCCTCCCTCCCTCCCTCCCTCCCTCCCTCCCTCCCTCCCTCCCTCCACCCCTCAACAGGATGGCGAGGCAAGTGGAAGCAGCAACAGGATGAGATTGAGAGAGAGAAGGCACAATCACACCACCTTGCCACTGAATGCGTAGTGGACCTTTCGGTGTGGACGGAGGGTATGAGCTCCCAATATGCTACGGTATTGAAAAATGCATCAGGGTTTCATTTCAAGGCAAGCACTGCGTAAAACAGTGGCGAGTTTCATGCTACGGTACGGTATTTGACGGGCGGGCACTCCTCAACCTTTGTACAGTAAAAATGCTGCCGCCTGCTGCAACAATTTTTGGAGATTGGCTTTGCCAACGAGCTGCTCGTCAAGTGGTCGTGTGCGGTGGGAGGAGGTACGGTACGGGCACCAGGGAGCAGCGGGACTGGTCATGGATGTAAGGAGGCGATGAGTAGCATGGGCAGTTGAGGGGGCGAGAGTGAAGGCTGTCAAGGTGGTGGTCGTTCCCGAGTGGAACTTTGGTACGAGTGGGAGCATGGTGCAGTCTCAAGGGGTTATCTAGACTGCACAGGCCGTCAAGTGTCTTGTGCTCTGAGGGGATTCAGCAACTGTGTGGGTGATGCCCTTTTATGTTGAATCACATGAGGAGGCTGTGGAGGAGGGGATGGTCTCTGGCCTGGGTAGGATGATGGTTGGGGTGGTGCCTTGTGATCCGCCTTGTGGGATGGATCAGTGAAAGGTTGAGGAGGTGCCTTGTTGTGGGATTGAGGGTCGGTGGACGGTGCAGGTGGGAGGTGCGATCCATCGGGGCAGAGGAAATCAAAGTGGATTTTGTATCCCGCGACTGCAAAGCGCAACGCGTTGAGCACCCCCTTAGCTGCCCACGCGGCCAGAAGGGTCTTGAAGTGGAAGAATGCAAGTGCTGTAGGAGGGGGGGTTGGGAGGGAAGGGGGAGGAGGCGTTGAGCGAAGGAGATGGAGGATTCAAGTTGCTGCCCGACTCAGAAGTCATTGTGTTGAGCACCCCGTTGGCCGCCCACGCGGCTAGAAACGTCTTGAATTGGAAGAAGGGAAAAGGGAGGGAGGGGAAGAGATGGGGGAGAAGAGGGAGTTGGTGAAATGGGAATGGGAAAGCGGCAAGGGATGCGGGGGGGAGGAGGAGGAAAAGAAGAGGGAGAAGGTATACGAGCGGTGTGAATGGAGGGGGAACCGAAAGAGATGGGACAAGGCGAATGAGGAGAGGTGGACAAGAGAAACGACGGTAAACGGGAAGATGTGGATAAGTGAACGACGAGAAAGGGAAGAGAGGAGAAAGGCGAAAAGGGAAAGGGAAGAGAAGGAAAAAGCGAGGAGAAGGGAAAAGGGAATGAAGGAAACAATATACTAATGCGGACGAACTGAGGGCAAAATATGGCATTGCTGGCATCAATGACCAGTAGAGAGAAGCAGAAAAGGTGGAAGGAAGGACACTTACAGACGACAGGAAGGAAGAGCGTGAAGAAGCCAACAGCCAAGCACGCCGCCATGTAGGAGAAGGCCTGAGCCGCATAGATGAGCCCATCGTACACGAATACCTGGGGGAACAGAGAGCGATGAGGGCGGGGAAGGGATATTAGAAGGAGGAGGAGGGAGGAGGGGGAAGAGGGGGGAGGCACTCACAGACGATGGGAAGGAAGAGCGTGAAAAAACCAACAGCCAAGCATGCGGCCATGTAGGAAAAGGCCTGTGCCGCATAGATGAGACCATCATACACGAATACCTGGGAGGATAGGGTGGACCAAGGATACAGGAAATTAGGAGGAAGGAGGGGGGCCGGAAAGAGGGGAATGAGGGGCACTGCGCTCTGGTAGGGTGCATTGCCATGTAGGAGGAGGCCTGAGCCGCGTAGATGAGACGGACCTATTTGAGACGGACGTGGACGAGACGGACGTAGATGAGACCTACAAAGACGAATACCTGGGGGGGTTGGTAGGGTGGATGACGAGGGAAGGTGATTAGAATGAGAAGGGCTGGGCGCGTAGAGAATAATCCATTCACTCACCACGGAGTTGAGTGGTTGCATGAGCGCGAGGAAGAGCCACACGTGCCTCAGCTGCGCCTTGGTGGCCTCATCATATGTGAAGAGCGCAACGATGTGGCGCTCCAGGGATGTGTATGCCGCACAGATGAGGATGCCTGGAGGTCGACGGGGGGGAGGGGAAGGGAGAGAGAGAGGGTCAGGGGGTGCCTAAGTGGCCTCGTCACACGTGAAGAGCGCCGTGACGTGGTGCTCCAGCAATGTGTATGCGGTGCGGTGTTGCCTAAGCCTACGCAGCCTCATCGTATGTGAAGGGAGCCGTGAAGTGGCGCTCTAGGGATGTGTATGCTCTGCTGCACATATAAGCACGCCTGGTTTAGATAGAGAATATAAGCGGCAGGGAGAAGGCAACTGCTTCGTTATGAAGTGATCCAGTGCATGCTGCAGTGATGAGGCACACGTGGGGATTGGCATATGGGCCTCTTTCGAATCAATTCAGATCATCACCTACTACCACCAGTCCCATGCGCAACACGCACCAGCACACGAGCCCAAGGTCCGCCAGCAGTGCTGCATGATGCTCTGCACAAGCGCCATCTTCCCAACCTTGTATGGCACATACACATCCTCAAAGGCCCTCCCTCACCTGCCCCCCTCCCCCTCCCTCACCTGCCCCCATCCCCCTCACTCACCTGCCCCCATCCCCCTCCCTCACCTGCCCCCATCCCCCTCCCTCACCTGCCCCCATCCCCCTCACTCACCTGCCCCCATCCCCCTCCCTCACCTGCCCCCATCCCCCTCCCTCACCTGCCCCCATCCCCCTCACTCACCTGCCCCCATCCCCCTCCCTCACCTGCCCCCATCCCCCTCCCTCACCTGCCCCCCTCCCCCTCCCTCACCTGTCCCCATCCCCCTCACTCACCTGCCCCCATCCCCCTCCCTCACCTGCCCCCATCCCCCTCCCTCACCTGCCCCCATCCCCCTCACTCACCTGCCCCCATCCCCCTCCCTCACCTGCCCCCATCCCCCTCCCTCACCTGCCCCCATCCCCCTCCCTCACCTGCCCCCATCCCCCTCCCTCACCTGCCCCCATGCCCCACCCTCACATGCTCCCATGCCCCTCCCTCGCCTCCCCCCAACCCCTTCCCTCACCTGCAATCAATCCCATGCGCAGCACACGCCAGCACACGAGCCTCAGGTCCGCCAAGAGGGTTGCATGCTCGCCCCTGGTCTGCGCCTGCGCCATCCGTCCCGCCAGGCTGCTGGCCACGATGGTGCCTGCTGTGGCAAAGCCATCTGCGATGTAGATGTTGACCATCCACAGCTGCATGAGGATCTGTAGTGGGGCATCGGGGCATGGGGAGGAAGAGGGGGGAGGGATGGGAAAAGGGGAAGGGAGAAGGTTTCAAGCCAAGCTGCTGGCCATGATGGTGCCCGCTGTGGCAAAGCCATCTGACCATCCACAGCTGCATGAGGATCTGCAGTGGGGGGACGGGAATGCGCAAATGGTGGAAGAGGGAGGGCGGAGGGGAGGGGTGGGGTTTAGGTCTCGGGAGCAGCGACTCTATCTGCGATGTAGATGCTTCCCTCCTGCGGCCGCATGAGGTTCTGCGGGGGTGGAAATTGGGCTTGGGGCATGGGGCATGGGGCATGGAGCATGGGGCATGGGGCATGGGGCATGTGGCATGGGGCATGGGGCATGGGGCATGGGGAATGGGCATGGGGCATGGAGCATGGGGCATGCGGCATGGGGCATGTGGCATGGGGCATGGGGCATGGGGCATAGGGCATGCGGCATGGGGCATGTGGCATGGGGCATGTGGCATGGGGCATGGGGCATGGGGCATGGGGCAAGGGGCATGGGGCATGGGGCATGGGGCATGTGGCATGGGGCATGTGGCATGGGCATGGGGCATGGGGCATGGGGCATGGGGCATGGGGCATGGGGCATGAGGCATGGGGCATGTGGCATGGGGCATGGGGCATGGGGCATGGGGCATGGGGAATGTGGCATGGGGCATGGGGCATGGGGCATGGGGCATGGGGCATGTGGCATGGGGCATGGGGCATGGGGCATGGGGCATGGGGCATGTGGCATGGGGCATGGGGCATGGGGCATGGGGCATGTGGCATGGGGCATGTGGCATGTGGCATGTGGGGCATGGGGCATGTGGCATGGGGCATGGGGCATGGGCCATGTGGCATGGGGAATGGGGCATGGGGCATGGGGCATGTGGCATGGGGCATGGGGCATGGGGCATGGGGCATGGGGCTTGTGGCATGGGGCATGTCGCATGGGGCATGGGGCATGGGGCATGGGGCATGTGGCATGTGGCATGGGGCATGGGGCATGGGGCATGTGGCATGGGGCATGTGGCATGGGCATGGGGCATGGGGCATG